AAAACTGCAGAGTTCTGGCCGTTAGATGTAGCTCGTCTGTGTTGAGACATTCTTTTGAACAGTGGCTGCTTTGTTTCCCCGATGTATAACTGGTCGCAGTCGCATGTGATGTGAGTATCAGTCACATGGAGGCAGGGCTTAAAAGCCTGAATTTTGCCTGAAACTCTCAGACTGAAGAAGTCTCTTGGAGGAGAGASGAAACGTTTCATTAGAGAAGAACCCGTCCAGAAGACCTATACAATTTTTTTTAGATTTTTTACCTGGATTACTGAGATGCATCAGGACATAAAGTATTCCTTATTTTAAGAGGCTAAATGTACTCAGTAATGTCATTAAGACAGAAATAAAATCATTGCTCACCCCATTTAAGCTGCCCAGGTCTTTCACCCTGTGTTCGTCTGTGTTTGGGTCGTAGTTGATGACAGCGTGCTGTTTGTCCACGCTGCGGGACTAAATGATGCAAAACTCCACTCAGTCACTGCATGTGAATATTATGTGAAGACAAAATAAAATGAGACAGTTGTGTACCTGCAACATGAGCTCACAGTCATCCCTCCCCACAAAGATCATCTCCCTGGGAAGACGGTGCCGAGTGCCCCCGCAGCTCACCAGAAACCAGGAAGTCAGGCTCATTTTTGCCTCACCGGGTCACCTTTGACCTTTAGTACTTTCTGTTAAAAACAAACACAATGAAATCCCAGTTCTCCACTAATAACGTGACTATTCACAGACAGTTTGATCAACAAACAGATAAGTGATACCAGATGTGAATAAAAACATCAAACAGCTAAAGAAAAATGAGAACAGCTCAGCATCTGTGCTTGTGCATCATAAGCACAGGAGCTATTTCATCTCTCACCCAGGGGGATACTCATCACTCCATATGGTGCGGTTAACAACTAGAACTATACAGTTAAGTGTTACAAATCAAGAGATGGCTTACAGATATCCAGGCATCCTTTGAAACTTGCAGTTAGTCACCCTTGGATTAAGTCCCTGAAAAAAGAAGCAATAATTCAGTATAAAACACACAAACAGGTCAGAAAGAGACAAACAATAACAACCAGCTTCCTTATGATGATCTCAGATGATTTCCATTCACATTCACAAGTCCACGAAACAGAACAACTGCTCTGTTCAGTGAAACAAACACCCTCCATTTACTGCAGCATCACCACACCGTGCTGACTCACTCTGGAGGAGCTATAGGAGAAACATTACACACTTTACCAGGAAGCTGCCTTTTTCTTTATTGTACATCGTGTCATTCCCAGAGGAACTCCCCCGTCCCCCCAGCTTGGCTCTTAGACCATAATGACCCAGATTTCCTATATAAGACGTCTGACCACGCACGGCTTCACCCACTCTCAGATGTAAGCGTCCTCTGCACGTGACGGCTCATCATCTGCGCCTGGAAGCGGCGGCAGCAGATGATGGCTGATGTCGGCCAATGGGAGAGCCTGAAAAAAGGAGCCCGGTTAGGCCGTGTCTCAGCTGGAACCCGTTCACCTCCCAAACCACGTCCGAGGCGGGATTTTCCACATTAAATAATCAAACGCTACACAACACGCATGTTAGGGCATAAACGCGCAGTCACAGTGAGATTAACGCTAATTACCGACGCATCATCTGAAGCGTGCGTTCATCAGTCACATCCTCTTTTACGCGCAGCTTTTTTTAGGCCAAACGCAGGCTGTGATCACTCACAATGACAGGTCTCATGTGATTTTAGAGAGGATTAAATATTGTAAAGGTGGAATATTTACGCTCATCCAGGAATGTCGAGCTTTATGGCGGCTGCTCATTTCACCGCCTCCATAAGCCGAGGAGGAGGAGGAGGAAGAGGAGGCAGCAGAAAGGACCAGAGTTGATCCAGACATCATCTGATGTGAAAAAAAAAAAAAAAAAAAAAAAAAAAAAAAAACCTCTCTCACCTGCGGCCAAACGGACCATCAGCATCCGACATGAAGAGGGTTTAAATCATCCGTGCCTGGTGCTCCTGAAGTCCTGCCCGGCCCTGCTCCCTCAGCTGGGCCGCGTCTTTGCCTCCAGGTGGCGCTGTGCGCGTTGAAGGGAAGAAGAGGGAGGTTATGTAATCCTACAGGACACCTGACAGCAAACCATGAGTGGTCCATTTTGTGGATGATTGTGGAGTTTAAACAATGACTCTTTGATACATATTTAACTTTTCATCTAAATCTTTAAAAAAATAAAAATAAATAAAAAGAAGCGAAGTGTGGAAAATAAATTACTTTCACAATRTTTGGTGAATTGATCTTTTTAAAAATGTTTTTTTGCATGTGCCAGAACAAAATATTTGGTCCAATGACTTTTTAAAAAAATAATTTTATGAATTTCAGAAAATCCTATTTTGCACCATTTAATAAAGTTTAGCTGCTGTCTAGTTCTTTAGWTTTAGTCTGCCTTTTTCAGTTTTTACATAGCATTTTGCAGCTAGCTATTAGCTAAACTTTAGCTACTTTAAGCTTTTGGTTAGTGTTTTGGTACTTTAACAATTTGTTCTGCTATAGCTTAGCTTTTATTTTGCTTGTCTCAGCCAGACTTTTTCTACAATTAGCCTTTAGCTGTTCTGGTTGTTTTACTTTTAATGACGTCTTAACAAGTTTATAACTGTACCAGAGGATTTTGCTGCATTTRTGATTTTTTTRTKTTATTTTTTTCTGAGTTGCTGTGTTTGAGCTCTGTTTTGTTCTCATAAGAAACATTTTTTTTATTATAGGACCTTTAGATTCATGTCTATATGTTGCTGCACAAAAACTGACACTAGATGGAGGCAAAATACTGAAATATGATGGTGATTTGAGCCAGGCCCACAGTTTGTTGGTTGTCTTATTAATCAGGACATTCATGCATCAAAACAGCAACTGTGACATTCACACAAAACAAACAAAAAATGATCAGATTTATTCATAATTTCCAAGATGTTACAAATGTTTTACATAGTTTAAATACGAGCAATTTAAAGGTGAACGAATTCTTGTTCTTTTAGCATGTTTACAATAATTAAAAAATGTCTTTGCATTGTTATTTTTTTGTGATTTGTCAGTTCCACATCTGCTCCTGCAGAACTATATCAGATGCAAACCTCATTACAACACWGGTTCTTCCACTCCTTAATGTCAACCTGCTAAGAAAAAGACTCATTATGTCCTCAGGAGTAACTTGGACTAACTTCAGAAACTAACAGACATGTATTGTTTCCAAGACAAAAGAGGTCCCTGCATCAGATAATCAAACAAGTTTATGCTTCTAACAGTTTAAATTCTTATGATAAAGTCAAAATATGATTAAAAATAAGTGCAATAATCTTGTTAAAAGTAACAATTTAACCGTGAAGTCTTGGACTTTTCACTGAGTCTTAAATCTGATTTGAAGTGAAAACTGTGGTATTTGTATGCTCATGTTTAGGAAGCTTACATTAAACAAAATAAGACAAAATCTCAATATTTTTAATAGACATGTGACTGGTTTAATTATCCAAACATACACTTTTATTTAATTTAAAAATAAGTAAAAGATTGACTTTTTTTTAAGAATTTTCCCAATATATCTATATTTCTATCTATGCACGTGAACCTTGTTTCATGTTGTTTTAAGCTTTAATTTCTTTTTATCTCTTGTTTCACTTTGTTAAAAAAACAACTCTTTAAAGCTTTTTTATCCTGTTGATTCTGATCAAATCTTCTGAAAAGAACAAATCTGTCCTGGACATAATAGTAAAACAAACTTTGCTTCGTGTTTTTGGTTTGTGGAAAGCGGAACCCACTCTGCTCAGTGGATTTAAATACGCGCTGCATATTCACATGAGCAGAACCTCCGCTGGTTCTGTTGGAACATGCGCGCTGTGCCGCTCCTCTGAAGGCCCAGCCCCCTTGATCCCCTCCGTCCATTGGTGTCTTCAGGGTGTCTCTTTTCCCCACCCCCGTCCATAGGTTTCTAATGAGTGTCCGTTGGTTTTTATTGAGGCTTGCCCCCCTCCCCCTCCCACCGGCCGCCCTCGCCCTGCCCATGTTCTCTGCGTGCCTCGGTCCGTCCACCTCCTGACGTTCAAGTTCGCAGGAACGTCACGTCCGCACTTGAACTTGCAGCTCAGGGGGGCTTCGCCGTCCCCCCCCACCTCCCCACATCACTCTCTCTTTGCGAAAAAGTCATGAGGAGCTCCGCGCAGCCCGCAGCGCGTTTACGCACCGCGCTCTGAATGATCCGCAGCTCGGCCCGCTTTTATTTCCCCGCACCTGGATGACAAAACGCATCAATGAAGAGATTTCACTCGGAGTCTACCTTTTAGGAACGGATTTCCCAATGTGAACTCAGCTGAAGAGCCGCCGCCAAACCGACCATGTCTCGCCGCAAGCAAGGCAAACCCCAGCACTTGAGCAAACGGGAGTTTTCGCGTAAGTGGAAACAAATCGCCTCTTGTTTTTTTTTTTATTATTATTCCGTGTTGATCTCCCAGGGATCAACTTATGTCCTGTTTTATTGTTCTTTCGTTACCATTCTTCCTGGGGGAGTTTAACAGGCAGAAAGGAACAGAGGGATCCACCGCTGTCCTGAGCGAAAACACATAAACGCACCAAACGCACACACATCCAAAGGCACAGGTCATCCTCAGAGTGAGTGTAGGCTCTCCCGGTGAAAGTTCTGACCCAAAGCTCCAACTTGAACGCGTTGTATAACTGCCTTCAAAGTTCCTCTCGCCATTAAAGGACATGCGGGAGCTTTATGGCCAGAGACCTTTGCCTGTGTGTGCAGGCAGCGCAGGATCACGCTGCGGTCATTCACTGACAACTTCCCGTGTGTAGCTTTTGAAAGCGACCCAGCCACATCAACACGAGCGTTTCTTTTCTCTCAGAATAATCCCACAGCTGGATTAAACACAGGGAAGTGGTKTTTCCACTTGTCCGCAGCGCAGGAACGCACAGTGTGCGGCACCTGAGCAGAAAGAATGCAGTTTCTGCAACAAATTATTCTCCTCTAAAAACAAACTGTTTTCAATACATAGGTTAAGCTGTGTTCTAAACAAATATTTATTCTAATAAACATAAATGCTCCTCCAGGATGCTGTTGGATGAAGGATAAACAGAGGAAAGTGGTTTTACGCACGTGTGTGGGACACAAACACGCACAACCCAGATCGAGAGGGTTTTTTTTTTACGCACAGCGTTTAAAACAATTATTGTTCTGAAGAAAAATTGGAAGACAAGCTGCCTGGTCCACGCGCTCTGGGAGTGGACGTGGRAAACCTCTCCAAACATGCAGGTTCTAGTTGTTTTGATGCCGCCCAAGTTGATGGTGGAGATCAGGAGTCCGCGTATTTATTCGGACTTTAATTAGTCTTTTGTTCCTGGAAACGTGTCTCTGCGTGCTGTTCGAATTTCCGTCGAAATCAATTATGATCTCGCGACACCCCCCTCCCCCCCAACCCCCACGCTTTGAGGAGCATCGCCAGTGGGGGGCGTTCTCTGATTGTTCTCCTATTGGGCCGAACGTGAACTTGATCCACTTCATCCTTCTGTGCTGCTTAAACAGGCGCAGGCAGAGAGGCTCGTTTACGCAGAAATGACTGCATATTTTATCTTCTTTATATATATATTTTTACCTACGAGGAGGAAAAACAAGTTAAATATTCAAGATATAAACTTAAGGTTAAAATGCTTTAAGGAGTAATCATCTACACAGGAACGCAGTCCCAAAATGTTCTAGTACTTGCAAATGTTTTAATTTATACAATGCAGTTTGGGTTTTAATGCTTACTTTGGCTCAGTTTAATATTTATTTACAGTTATTTTATTTATTTGACAAAACACTGAGGCAGCACTTTTTCTGAGGCTAWTTATAAGCTGTCATGAGGCTAAGTGACACTACTTTCTATAATAATGGCAGAGAGAGTTTTTAAGACAGGGACATATTTTTATTTATTTATCCGAAAATGTTCCAAAAGTGCCCCYTTGGCATTTTCAGCTGCAGAGTTATTGATCCACAGTTATTAGCAGAAGGAGTCATGTTAGTGTAAAACAGCAAAAGGGAAAGAGTCTGAATGACTTTGATGACAATGAAGCAGACGTTCTGCAGGAACCCAGTGGGAAACATTAACCTAAACAAGTTCAGATTCTGTCCTGCTGAGATAAGTCTGAAAAAAAAAAGGATTATATTTGAGCTTTCTTTAAAAGTTATTCACATCACTCTTGCTTGGCATCAAAATGAGATTATTTGGTTYGAAGAAAAAAGTTTGCACCTAACCCAACCTCACACAGCTCACCTGCGTTCACGGCATAAGCTTTTTAAAGATAAGCTACTGTAAAATATATTAAAAAAATAAAACGGGGTGCTCATTTCTTCATCTTTAATGCAGCTGAACATACAAGGAACAGGGCCTATCTCGCATATTCCCTCACCACCTTGTCATCTGACCCAAAACAGAATTAAAGGTTGAACCCGCGGCAAGAATTCATCGCATCTTATCTCCACATCCCAGCCGGGACGCCCAGTGTCGTTTACCGTGTGGCTGGATTCCTCCTTTTAAAATGCTCCCTCTCTCCTCTCCTCTCCTCTCCTCTCCTCTCCTCTCCTCCCCTCTCCGTCTCTGTCGGTACTTCAGGGACCTACTCCACATCCAACCCCTCAATGTCTAACCTTGGTTCACAAAGATCCCAGCACTTTTAACGAAATGGGGTCCAATCATCTTGAACTCAAATTAGAATCTATTTTTTGATTCTCCGAGGTGTTAGGTTCATTAAAAAAGCAAGATTGGCAGCACAATAAAAGAGGGTCAAGCAACTTAATCGTTTGACTGCTGCCTGAAAGCTGAACGTGTCAGCTCTTATCGAAGCAGCATGTGTCGTCTTTCTTAATAAAAAAGAAACAYATTCACATTTTACACATGACCTTATTCTTGTAGCGACCTGTAGACTCATTTCACATATTTGTTTAAAATCTTTTGTCTGTACTGTCCACTGACATCCTCTCTCCTCTCTGCTCCTCCAGCTGAGCCTCTCTCAGGTGTTTTACCAGAAGAAGAGTCTCGGGACTCCCCCAGGCTGGGTGTGTCTCAGGGCGAGCCCCTAAAAGGGGACCAGGACCTGCTCACCTGTGGCCAGTGCCACACCCGCTTYCCGCTGGCCGACATCCTGCTGTTCATCGAGCACAAGCGGAGGCAATGCCACGGCAGCCTCTGCGCGGACAAACCACTGGACAGGCCGCCGTCCTCCCCTCTCGCCTCGCCCCTCTCCACGTCCTCGACTCGCTCACGGACCCAGCCCCAGCACCTGCGGCGGGCCTGCCACCCCGTGGAGGTGGCGGTTCAGGTGTCGCCGCTGGATGAGGATTGTTTATCTGCGCCCTTGCAAGGAATAATCCCCAAGCAGGAGAGCGTTACAGGTAAARCCTACGTGGATCTGAAACAAATCGTGGCAGTGCAAACACACAGATGAGCAGGGAGAAAAAATAAGTGGTGTTTGGAGGTTCACAGTTTACTTCAGAAGAAAACAAATACCCTCTGAGACGTACTTGCTTTGCTTCTGGTAATTTGGATGTATAAAATCTGCATAAACAGGGTGTAAAATATCAGCTGCTCCATTTAGGAGCTGTGAATTTTCCCAGCTGAGTCATGAACCTAAATGAAGACCAGCCGTCTTGAAAATGACTGTGAGAAAGGGAAACATTTGGAGACAATGAAAAAGGACGCACACAGACAAAAAAGACAAATGAAAAAAAAAAAAAGGAACCAGAGGGAAAGATGGGATGCATTTCTTTTGGTTTGTCCTGTAGCACAGATGTGCTTAAACCCTGTGGACAAATTCTCTCTGATGTGGTGCTGGAAGATGTATCTCTATCCTTTACTGGCTTATTACACTGTCATCCAGTATCTCTTTTACCCTCAAATATGCGCCTGTAAAGGCTCACTCCTATTCTAAAATTAAAAAGCGATAGAGAAGAATGTAATTATCTGTCAGCAAAGAAGTGTTTATTTGAGGAACTCTACAGCCACTAATTGTCAGTGTTTTCCTTGATTTGAGTAATTAAGGACTTCTTAAGGCATCTTGTTGGTTTGTTGGTTGTCCACGGGGGCTAAACGAGGCTGCAGTGAAAACATGAATTGCTGTGCAAACAAGCAAGCGTCCCGTCCGTCTGTTTTTTTTCTTCCCAGAGTAGGGGTTTTAATTTTGACCTGCACATTTGAATGTTTGTTCCTTCTCTTTAACAGAACGTGTGCCAGGCTGTGTGCTGATTGTCTGGGCAGTTGTGATTTAATTTGAAGCCAATTCGGGCTAAACACACAGAGAGTGCAATCATAGGCTCTACTGTACAGCACAGCTTTACAGATGGTATTTTGTAGCACCACGGTTATTTCTTGTTGGTTAGTTAGTCCCCCCCCCTCCGTGATACAGAATGACCACTGTTCATTAGTGTACAGTTTGTTAAACATCTGCGTTTGCACACACACACACACACACACACACACACACACACACACACACACACACACACACACAGACAGAACAATTCAAACAGCCTCAACTGTTCACATTCAGATAAAAATCAAGTTGTAAATAAATTCAAACGCTAAATTATATTTTGTACATTTTTAAATCCTGTCTGGCTCACAATCATTTAAAGTTTTAACATTAATTTAAAGAATTTTAAGACATTTTATCTTTTATAAATCAATATTTTTCAGCCGTTTCAGGACAACAGGCTTTTTAACCATAAATATAAACTGATGTTTTGAGGATTGTTTTATCATAAAAAAGCTTTAAATGGAAAGAGAGGGGAAACGCCTCACCGTGCTCGTATATGGAGGCCTTGTTTCGTGTTTTTGTGCAGCTGCAGTGTGAAGCGGGCGAGTTGTGTGTCAGCTGTGACACTCGCAGGATTAATTTTGTCACTACTTTGTGTCTTGGCTCCAGTGTCAGCCATTCAATCCACTTTCCTCATGTACTGTACCGGGGCTTAATGTCAGACTAGGCTGTCATCCACTCAGTCTGCCTGCTCGCTGCGACACACACACACACACACACACACACACCATAAAGCCATCTGAAAGCACATATTTAATCTTAAAATCTCAAAGTGACGGACATTTTGTCCTGAGTGAAGCTCTCATTAGAGCAGAATGATTAAAAACTACTAAATATTTCTCATTTCCATACAAAATACCAAAACAACTTCAACCCCTTTTGAACATTTTGATGCATGTTTTTCCTCTAAAAGCACAATAATTAAAAAATAAAACACTTGGACAAAGAAAACATTTAGCTCTGCCTTTTATTCTCACTTCCAGCCCTCCTGATTCATTTCTTTCTGTGGGGGAAATTATCTCTAACAATTAAACTCTATTAGACTAAAAACAGAGAAAATGCATTTCATTATCACACACACACACACACACACACACACNCCACCTCGTCCTCCATATGCTAGCTGCCATGTTCTTTTACCCTGCTCAGTGAGAGTCTGACACCGACTGCAGGCATCTCAATACATACTGTCCCCACGCTTGCTTCATTCCTGATCCATTCCTAGGGACTGTATTATATGTTGCAGCCCTCAACTTGAAAGCGACCCCCTCCCTACCCCCATCCCCTCTCTCTCCAACCTCCTCCTGAACTATCATTTCACACAGATGGATTTCCATATGCACAGCAGTTCATGAAAGCAAAGGTTCTCAGTATAGGTTGTGGAGGGAGCTGACACCCATGGTGGTTGAACTTGAAGGTGGGAGAAATGGGGGTGGGGGGGTTCGTTCTGTAAAGGGCCCAAAGCTTTGGGATGAGCTGCGCCTTTGGGTCTCTGTCTAGGGGACAGCCGAGGCCGTCTGGGAGTCTCACGACTGCAGCTGGGGTTGGGGTCTGCTGTCTGGAGCTGTGGGCCGTTAGCAGAGGGCAGAGCCGCCTGCGTGCCGTCATTTGCATGATAAACAATTTAAGATATGCAGAGAGACATCGGAGCTTGTCTACAGATTATGGATGGCCCAGAAAGAAAGCAGATGAGGGTTTCTCAAACCCAGGATACCGTCATCAAAGAACAAAAAATTTAGTTAATTAATTAAAAGGAAAACTGGAAAAATTATAGTCATTCATTCTCAAGCTCATTATTTTATAAAGTAACATTTTTTTAAAAAAGTGCAATAAATTACTATTTAGTCTAGCTGCACTGGCATAAAATGCCTTCTTTGTTAAAATTAGGATACACAATCATACAGGCCTTTTCATGTCCGATACACCCTGATTAGTATTTCTGCAAATCGTTTGTCTTTGTTAGATAGTATTAACATGAAACCACACTTTCCTGCTCGCGTTGCCCCATCATTTTGGCTCTCTGCTCATCCATCTCGGCATTAGCACCTCTTAGATTCTCACAAGCGTAGCCACATGTGTTAATGAGGCCACTGTAGCTGTGCCAATCGACCACCAGCTCACACTTTGCTTCTTCTCCAGCGCTCTTGCCTTCGTTGTAACTTGGACTCTGAATCGATACTGAGTCAATTATGGCCGCCACCTTCGCCCCCCCTGTTTTTTTCTTTTTCTTCTTCTCCTATGAGAATGAAAACATCCTAACAACTRAGCAGTATTTCTTATAGCACCTTTCTCCTGCTGCAGCGTGTTTTCCTACAGAAGCTTGCCTGTCCTGTTTTCTGCCCCGTGTGCAGCGGAGACAAAGGTGTTTAGCAGGCTCTGTGTTGGCACTTTGCCACTTTTCTCCCCACCTCCTCCCACTGCATGCATACACATGCAGGGGGGCTGGGCAGTGCGTGGTAATAGTGAGTGCAGGGGGTGGGGGTCTTGGTTGTGAAATCTTGTCCACTGTCCAGTGTGAGTGCGTGTGTGGAGACATATGGGGCAGAGAGGAAGTTTGCACGCGGGGTCTTTGTTCTGGTGATCACTTTAATTGATAGTGAAAAGCCACAGATGCATGCTGCTGTAATTATTGGACACCAGCTAATACTTCAACATAAGCACTCCATTGTCTGCAAAAACTGACTCTAATTTGATCGTACAGTCGCTCCGGGCTCTGATAGAATCAGTCCTATTTTTGGCTCCACTAAGTTTTAACGAAGGTGAACAGAAATGGTTTTTGGGGACGAATTTTTTCACAGATGACATTTTTTTGCATTCTGAAGCCGAGCAACGCCCACAAATGTTGTCAGAGGAGATTTGCCGGGCCTTTGTTGTCGGATTAAATGTTAGGAGCTCTGACTGCATTTCAAATGCTGTGGATTGGTGAATGTTTATACAAAGAGTGCGGATGTGGTGTTAATGTTTGTGTGTGTGTGTGTGTGTGTGTGTGAGCGTGGTTTTGACCACTAAAACAGTTTGTAGTTCCATGTGTGTGTATTAGACAGAAAAAAGTGTGCGTGGTTTTGTTTGTTAAAGCTTTACTACTCTGGGTGCACGGGCTGAACATGAAAGAGTCTTTGACTTGGCAAGCCTCGCCCGAGGACACCTCTCTGTGGAACACGCCAGGCCGGACTTGGCACGCAGCGGTGGGCCTGAAAGACGGGCTCGGCTCAAACGTGAGCGTCGTATCCGTTCTCTGGATTCGCGAGGCAAAACGTATGGCGAGGTGGCGGTGTGTGAGTGACAGCGGGAGTTTGTGTGTGTGTCTGCTCATGTGTGTGTGGTGTCCTTAGGGGCTCCTGGCTTGGGCTTCCTGTGTCTCTGTTTGTCTTCTAACAAGACCAGCACCACAGCCTCGGGCCATTCAGGTGGAGACTAGCTGAAGTATGCACACAAACACAGGGCCGCGCAAACACAAACACGCAGTGCACAAAAAAGACTCACAAAGGCTCACAGACACAAATCTGCTTTTCAAACACAATGCACACTCCGCTTACACACACACACGCGTTTACGGCGTGGGTGTAGCTCCCTCCTGTGAACCTGTGTTTTGTCTGGGAAAAAAAAGTGTTGTGGGAGAGGCCCCATGATGTGTTGTGAGTTGATGAGATCTGTCAGAAACATATGATCCTTATTTTAGCCCACCTCCCCTTTGCCTCCCCCCTCTATCTCTCACTTGTGCTCTCCTCTCCACGTATCGCTCCACTGCGTCGCCTCAGGGAACTGGAAACTGAAAGTTTTGGCTACATTAGCATGTCTGCACCTCTTAAAGGTTTCCAACTTCCACCCTTGAGCTCATTCTCGCTCTCGCAGATTTGGCCGCGGACCGAGCTGGACACGGATACGCTGCTTCTCTCTGTCTCCTTCACCCACTGTCGGACCAAGCTATACGACAGAAACAACCTTGTTTGTCCACAGCCACGTCACGCAAGATGAAAAAAAAAAACCTTCAGATGTAAGCGCGTCCTGCCGCTATCCTGTCAATAGCATGGCAGGCAGTCACATCTCCAGGTCAGGGGTCACCTGACAGCGTCGGGGCCTGTCATGCCAGCCTCCCGGCTTCACCACCTGCAGGTTAATGACTTTATTTTTAGACAGAACAGAAACGGAGGAGAAAAAGYGGATTTTGATGCAACCGCAGCTCARGAAGTGACAGATCAGAGCGAAAAGGACAGACGTGATATTTTAAGAAGTAGGCAGGTYAGTCTGGGGTGAGAATGAGCCGATTTTGAGGAGATTATTTTCCTCTATTATGGTTTTTAAACATCCTTTGATCATGAATTTGAGTTCTCAGCAGAAAATAAAGCAGTTTTGATTATTTTGATGTCAACCAGTCCACACCGTATCGTTCCAGCTTGCATCAAGTCATCTCAACCTGTTGTGGCTGTTGTCTAAAAGGCCATGGCGCTGCAGGACCRTTGCTTTGTCTTTTTCACGTCCATGAGTGATAAAACTAAGGCCACCTGAGGGCCAGGACATTGCGTCAGTCTGAACCCACTGACACTGGTTTCTGTTGGTTTATCCAGTGGTTTTCTCCATCTGAGATGGACATGGCCTGCCACAGTCAGGGTATTTTTTGTGTGACAGTTTTATAGATGGGTGGTCAGTTACTTATCTCATTTACAATCAAAGACATTCCATTGTTTTGCAGAATGCACGTTGTCCACCACCCTTTACCAGATTTTTAGACTAAGACCTTCTTTTGTTGTCACTATGCACAATGTGTGATCGTGCATTAAGAGTATGTGTTGTGCATGACTCTTAGTTACTACCACACTGCCTATTAGCTGTAGCGGCCATCTTGAGTTGGGTTAACTCCAGAAGTTAATCATTTCTAGTTGCAGAGTCAGTGAATAATTTCTGAGTTTTATTGTAATCCATTCAGTGGTTCAGACAAACAGAGTTGGCTCCTGATTAAAATCAGCTCCTTGATTCATGAAACATTTTGCTAACAGTTCAGAGAAAAATTCTGTGCCTTCCACAGTAATCAGTGTTGTATAAAGTACCTCAAAGTGATACTTGAGTAAAAGTATAAGCATGTTATCATAAAAAGACTTTGTTAAAAGTTAAAATCTTCTCTAAAAACATTACCTGAGTAAAAGTCTTAAAGTATCTGATATTTTTTGTACTTAAGTATCAAAAGTAAATTTCTGACACAAGATCTACTTAAGTATTAAAACTTTTAATACTTTTAATTTAAAAGTAAAAGTACTGAGTAAAAGTGAGCAGATTTTCCAAAATGAAAAATGTTTTTTTCAAACAGCGCGCAGCTGTGATGGGTTGTGTACAAGCTAGTAGGGTGTCAGAATGGTATATATTTATACTTCTCATCCAACCACAATTTATTAGGATAGTTTTTTTTTAAGTAATAACAACTCGGAATAAAATGGGAGTAACAACTTTCTACTTCTTACTTTTTTAAAAAAATGTAGTGAGTAGAAAGTACAGATAATTGTGTAAAATGTAATGAGTAAAAATAAAAAGTACGATGAAAAATAATTACTCAAGTACAGATAACCAAAATTTCTACTTAAGTACAGTAACAAAGTATTTGTACTCTTACTTTACAACTCTGACAGTAAAGATGCAGTGTAGGAGGAGTCCATGCATCTGTTGATAGGCTAAAAACTGCACATGTGTGGATGTATACTTGCTGTTTTAAATGTATTTATGCAATATAAATATTTCAGTATAAATGGATAGTGAATAAGCTACATTTATTACTCTAAGGATATGAAACTCTCATTGCCTTCTAATAGCTGGAGTCAAGTGTGCGTTTGATCGTTGACTCAAATCCCACATCTTTTAAATGTTGATCAGAAGATTACCATTTTCCTTCATTCATTTTTGAGTAAGTCTTAATTTAGCGATTAGAACCGTTGTAGGCTATAAAATGGTACTGATGTAGTTTACTTTACACAAAAACAAGCTGTCGCAAGAWGGCACAAAAACCGGACTGGTGTGCACACAGAGGATTATCACTTATGCACGGATRCATGCATGCACACACATACTTACACCTCCGATCCAACCCCCCATCCCCATACCAAACTGACCCCCGGTCCTCATTCCACGCCGACACACACACACACACAATCATAAATGCACACTCCTGTCCTGGGCAGCCCTTACTTTTGCAGGCTGAATCTCACTGATAACATGCTGGCGTCCTCATTTAAATTTGAAGCGCTTCTTTAATCTTCAAAGGCCTGATTGCTTTATGAATATGCATGGACTGAGCTGACTCTCAGTTCATTACCTTGTTGTAAATTCTAATGACCATTAGGGCCCCTCGCGGTAATTGCCAATTGTTTTGCATTTTTGATTAGCCCATTACTGGAGCACATTCTGAACATGTCTGCCCTGCCTGCCATGCCATGGCAAGAAGCAGAAGGAAGAGAGGGGGAAAAGGGAAGAGTGTGCAAGTAAAGCCGGAGTAATGGGTAGGAAATTACAGTGAAGGTTGTGTTAATTTTGAGGACTGGCACAAGATGTGAGCAAGAGGAGAGAGGGTAAAAGATGCAACACAATAAATGTAGAACTCCGTGTTCCAAAAAAAAAAAACAAAACAAGCACTGACCAGGTTGTTTCTGCAGAGGCTGAGTGCAAGAGCGTGTACCTGTCTGGATTTATGTCAGCATGTGTATTTGTTGACTGTATGTGGAGACGTGTGCCTGGCTGTGTGTACATGTTTGCGTGCAGTTCTGTTCATGGGATGGGATAGGTGGAGTGCAGGGAGTGGAGAGATTCTGGCAGTGCTTCCCAGTGCACGGTGTGTCTGGGACTCATGAAAATTTGATGGTTCCTAGCAGAATGGCATTGCCCCTGCTACAACTTGATAACATCTAATGGATAATTTAGCGCTCTAAAACCTGCAGGCCGGTCCACCTCTTTAGCAGCCGGGAGAGCACAACAGCTGCTGAGCTTTTTGAGGCCGGCGATGACGCTGTCGCTGAGAGAAATGCAGGAGGACAGAGCGCCAACACAAGGAAGGGAAGAGCGAGGATAGAAAATGCCCAAGTTTTATAATGAACACTGCAAAAGTGCCAAAAGTGAGTGCATGATGTGTTTGGCTTTTTTTTAAATCAACGTGTAATCTTCTCTGCATGCATCCTCACTTATAAATATTCCTGTGGTGTTCTACGGGAAAACAGGCACTGTTGTCATCTTTGTGCAGAGAATTCAGACCTCATAGTATCCAGATAACCCAGGTCTTGTGAAAATAAAGCAAGAAAAATATTCAAAAAGAAAAATTGCTGTAGAAATTTGGAATTGTTGCCATTTGGTGTGATAAACTTTCTGTGAGTTTCATTAAAACTCATCTAGTCGTTCATTATACATTTTTCTAATAGACAATGATAATAAATAACACATTTTAAATAATAAATACAAAATTTAATAATGAAGACCAAATTCTATATTCTTGTCAACAAACCCCACAAACAATTCATGTAAACAGAACTTCAGTTTTGCTGTTCTTTCTCTGTCTCTCTCTCTTTTGTCGATTTAGTATTTCCAGATTACACAGAGCTTCAGGGTCAACTGTCAGCCTCATGTTGTCAGACTATCAGGATGTTGACAGTTTGGTTAATCGTCCACAGTTTCACTTGAAGGTACGGAGTGAAGGGTCAGCAGAGTCTTGGTCTGATTCACTAAAACACTGTGTGGCTTTAAGCTTCAAAACACGGCTAAATGACTGTACAATCACTCTGTGGTCCATCTTTATTATACATTAGGGAACAATGACATATCGCAAAAATACCAAAAATAAAAATAATTAAAAATCCAGCAATACATCACAAGTAGGAAACATAGGCCTGCATGCTGAGGGAGACTACACTTGGATTATTATTGCCTGTTACAAATGATAAATTAGCAACATTGTTTTTATCAGTGTGAATATGTTTTTAGTGTTAGCGAAAAATCTCACTGGGAAAATATTAATGTAATTTCAGAAAGAAATCATTACATAAACGTTTACATCTGATTAACTTTGGAGTGTGGTTATAGCTGAGAGTCATCCCCAAAAACCTTTTCCCAGCAGCATATAAACACTGATATAAAAATATAATTTAGAACACAGTTTATTTTTATATATTATAAAATGTCATTGTTGAAGTTTTGAAAAGTATGTCGTTCTTTTTTTAACGTTTCTCAGTTTTTCTCTTAAAAATAATTAAAAATAATTAAAAAGTCTTAGTTTTTCTCTGACATTTCAGTACCTGTTGTGATGAAGGCCGGATTTAGATTGTCAGAAAAACAGCAATCTGATGAAAAAAAAGTGAATTGCTTACATGCGCTGAACTTGCTGTGAATGTTTACACCGTCATGTAATTTGGGCTATTTATTTGACAAATCAGACACGGAGAAGGAGCGTACAACTGTGGTAAATAACGTGCAATATTTGATGCTAAAAATGGGCACAAGTGCTTTTTTTTATTTGTCATTCTATTTTAATGCAGTGGAGACTCAAATTCTTGTGCTTGAAGTGTAGAATTYCTTTATGTTTAAGGAAGTATGTCACTGAGTGGTGACTGTTCAGGACTAAACGACAACTCAAACTTGATTCAGTATTGCAGGAAAAAAACTCAAATTTACCATTTTAGTTCGTACAGATGCCTTTGTACTTTTTGAAAGCCAGTTTATTTTTATTTTTTTTATTTTGTGAGCACAAAATTGTATTTAGTATGGGCTGCAACGAAACAGAAAATTCATGATTTGGTTCGGTTCAATGATTATGTGTCATGGTTCGATGTTTTTTCGATACAAAAAAGAGAAATTTCCATGCCCTTCTTAACTTGTAATTTATGGAAATTAATTATTAAAAAAGTTTTAAATGAAATGTTGCTGAAACAGCAAGTTTCTCAGTGGATCTGTGCTTGACAACGCATCCTAGGTGGAGTAGTCGAACACAGATCCACTGATCCTTCAACACAGAGCATCTTCAGAAGACAAATTGATAAAATAAATTTTAAAAATCTGTATTGTTCAATACATAGGGTGTATTAAATAATTCGGTACGGATACATGTATTGTTGCACCCCTAGTATTTAGGGTCATGCTTGTTATTTAGTTGACCACACCTGCCTACATCAAACTGGACTTGGGGTAGCCACCTGCACTTTTTTTTGGCTTAATCTACTAGCGTACCCTTTTAAAAATAAGATTGTTTTTAATAACTGTTATTTATCATCATGGTTTTCCGACAGAGGAGAACTCCTGAACACGGTGTTAAAACACAGTTGCTCTTGACACAGGTTAGAGTTCCCTTTGCCGTGACTTTTTGACTATTTTGAGAGAAATTTTGCCTCGCGATTGTTTTGAACATTTTAAAAATTCAAGTGACAAGAATGTGAGCCTCTTTGAWACAAACAAGGAAACCAAGAACCCTCGTGAATGTCACAAGACAAGACGTTCTGTTCACCAAGTGGCAGCCCAGTGAGGTTATAACTTCAGAGTTGTTCCTTGAAGCAGGGGTTTCAGTTATTTTTTTTTTTACTGTGGTCTTGGAGGGGGCCAGTAGGGGCCAGAGACACAATGGGGAAATTGTCCAGCTCAGGATCAGATAGTAAAAGCAGCTAGTCAGAGTCAGCAGGAGTGTTGGCTGGTCTGGGTCCAGCCTGTAGGTGTCCAGACTCTGGACTCAGAGACGGACAGAGAAGCMGCAGCAGCAGAGCCCAATGTGGCCCAAGAAGTCCAAGGCAGACAGCATGATAGATGGCTTTGTTAAAGGGTCCCAGGGTGTCTGCTGAACTTGAAGCACTCTGTTTATCTTGAATGGGTGAAGCACGGAGTGCTGGGGGGGCAGAAAGGAGGAGGAGAGAAGGGAGAAAAGGGAATGATATAGCTTTCAGGAGGAGGAAGAGAAAAGGAGTAGAGGGAGAGGGTAGGTCTGGATCTGAACGGGCCTGGATAGGGGGGTTGGGGAGGTTAAGGGGGGGTCGTGAGCAGGGACGGCTGCTGCAGAGACGACGAGCAGGGCAAGAGGGGGGATGGGGAAACTCTCCTCGTAGCTGTCCATTAACAGATGAACTTGGCAATGATCCAGGCCTCAAAGGTCTTGGGAGACAGACAGACACACACACATACACATGCACACACACACACATACACGTACATACACACACACACACACACACACGCCTGGTACCTGTTGCCTATAGATGGAATGCCACCAAGATTCTTTTTTGTCCAGAGGCGAAAGAGGACACGTCTCCGGTTCACCTATGTCAGAACCGGTTCAGACCGGTTAGCCAGCCAGGCCGAAGGAGGTAGACGGACAGGCCTCACCGCCGGGCCCTCCTCTCCCTCTCTCCTCTCACTCCTTCTCTCCTCCTCTCATCCTGCTCCATTTTCCAGGCTTTTAGTGTCGGAAACAGAGACAACCTCTAACCTGAGGGCACAGGACAATGCAGAAGTGAAAAGAAAGAAGCGAGAGAGCGTGGGAACAAAGCGAGGGAGCAGTGGAACTGGTCGTAAACAGGGTGGGAAGAGGACGGAAAAGTGTTTGGGTTGTTGTTGGTGCTTCGCTCTTGATGGGACAACATGAGCTTAACACCGCCGCGGCCATTGTGTACTGAAAACATTACAGCAAACGCGAGAGTGGTGAAAACTGGGAGAAAGAATTTGATATGGAAGATGGCACATAATAGGCTCATGTGCCATGTGGGCAAGAAATCTTTTATCAGAGTCTGCGCTTCTTGAAACTTGATCTTTTATTCTGCAATTTTAGATGTTTTCTAGAGAGGAGCTATTTTCTGTGAATCTGTTTGTGCCAATACATTCAAAAATATGGACTTCATGTATTCTTCAGCTTCTATCTTAAACCCTAACTATGCAAAAGCCATAAAGTTCTTTTAGGTTTTCGAGGAACTGCTACTGCAAGATTACGTAATTTAATAACCTTCATCACCTTCTTTACTTGATTATAAGTTTGTAGCTGACTTGAACTTTATCGTTTTAAACAAGAAAGGAACCCATAACAATAATAAGTGGCCAAAACTAAAGCAGAGGGGACTTTCCAGCTCGTGCATGTTTCTGTTTGTCTATCCCTCATTCTATTCACTGTCTTTCGGCCCTCCTTTGTTTATCTGTTCTCTCTTACTAGAGGTCTTTGATAATGACAAAAGGGCACCAGACAAAGGAGCTAAAAGTTCAAGTGCAGCTCAGTAACTTCGTTCAGTTCATCTCATATATCCCCTTTTTCATCCCCTTTTTTTTTGTTAACTCTTTGACGTTTCTGAGCAAACATACATGTGGACACGTCTTCACAGTTGCTGCGCGTAGAAAAAAAAAGATGTCTCAGGTGAAATTGTGCACGTTGTTTCACCTGAGGACAGGAGGCAGATGTTATGACATCTTGAGTCATAGAGCGGGGGGCGTCTTTAGGTATAAATCATATGCATGCTACAGGGCAAACATGGATAATGTATGGCTGTGTGTCTGTTATGTGTGTCTTCATGTAAATGCATGCAATCCCATTTGCATGTATTTCACACATGCTCAGATTAGTTATTTTTTTATATTCGTAGAGAAGGTTCTTTATTCTTTCCTTTTCTTCTGGCCTTTCAGATCTCGCTCTGTTTCTGAGAAATATGGCTTTTCTTTTTCCAAACACTGGTGCGGACACTTTGGTGCAGTGGCCATCTAAATTTCTTGCTTGTGTGTGTGTTTGTCTGTGTGTGTGTGTGTATGTGTGTGTGTGATGGCTGTTTTTATAATGCCCCCTGCTAATTTGCATATGTATATGTGCAGATTGTATGAGAAGAGCTCTCACACTTAGAGCAGTTGGATGGGGAGGGTGACGGGGGGGCTGTTGCAAGGGTTGTGTATATTGTGTGTGTGTGTGTGTGTGTGTGTGTGTGTGTGTGTGTGTGTGTGTGTGTGTGTGTGTGTGTGTGTG